GTCAAAACAAGGATGTTGCTAAGAAACGCCTAGCTGTAACTGTTCATCTTCACCATCAAGTGTGAGCTCATTCTCCTATTCAAACCCCCTCACATGCACTCTCTCCCCCATGACGCAGTAGCTCTGAGCTCAGCGTTCAAGAGCTAACGCCTGTGATGGTGAAGGTAACCGCTGGGCCTGGCTTAGCAACGTCCTAGTAGTTTTCCAGTCAGGCTTCATTAGGAATGTAAATGGCCTACACCTATAGCAAGGACATTATTCAATTTTAGTCAGAGCTGAACAGTTTGTCTAAAGATGCAGCTTATCTGCAAAAGGAGTTTTTTGGTATGGTGAACTAACCCTTTAAGACACGCTGAAATCAGTCTGCTGTAGGCAACTGAATGTGCTGTGTGGCAGAACTGTGTAAATCTCAAAAATGGATGGACATAACTGTATACTGTACTGTGCTAACGTTTTAGGTAGGTATGAAGAAATGCTGTAAAGTAAGAATGCTTTCAAAAATATATTTTTAATGGTTTATTTTTATCAATGTATAAGAAAAATGAAAATCAAATCAATATTCGGTGTGACTACCCTTTGGCTTCAAGCCAGCATTAAAGTGGTAGTAAAGGCACTTTGTTACTTTTTACCTACAGGTAAGCTTAATTGTACGTAAAAGAATACGTAGCCATACAAAGCAGTGTGCAGGAGCTGACAGGGGAGAGATCTGTGTTGTTTATACACAGGTCTGTCCCCCATTGGAGAAATCACCGGCCAGAACCCGGTGATTAACAGCTGAGGCCGTGAATAGCGGCGTCGGTAGGGCGTGCCCCCCCCCCCCCCACCCGAGACTGCAAAATCACGTGTATATATACGTGATTTTGCGCACCCGTTCCGCCCTGCAGCAGTGTTTCTACTATAAAGCGGCACAGAAGTGGTTAAGGTAAAAAACCTTAAGGCTTTAGAGCCACTTTAAGTATCATTATAAAACATTAGTCACTTACTCAATGCACTGTATTGCTATTGCTTTCTTTGAAATTGTGTGCTGCTATTTTCTCAGTTCTGCATAACTGCCAGCGGGGGGGATTCAGTCTTGTCCTGGTGATTGAAATAGTGAAAGAACACATCCCTGGGCACCCTTTAGGTGTGCATAATCCAGGTAGAGATCTGGCCCCTGAAAGATGTAGACTTTTGCTATGTAGCTTGCCCATCAGTTACTTTGATTACATTTTCAGACCTGCTTCTGGAACAGTAATGCAACTGATCAGTACAGCACAGCTAAATGCACAATCCAGTGCACAGCAGAAAGATGCATGTGTAAATTGTTGCCAGGAATGTACTCTTTCACTCAGACCCAACACTCATCATCACGTTTTATATTACACTTTGCTCTCGGTACATCTGAATGTGTGACTATTAAGGGAGGTATTGAGAATTGTCGACACAGACATAAAGGAAAGTGAATGCATAGGGGATCTCTAGAATGATGTCATAGTATTTATGGGGATTAAATGTGCACAAAATAAAAAAGAAAGTGAAGCGATTGCGAATTAACACTTGAAGTATATATGTAATTTTTGTTTTTTGCACTTTAATGCTGACATTTCACATACAATAACTCTTTAAAACATATTTGAACCCAGTCACAGTGCAATGAGATCTGTATTTTTGTTATATACTTTCTTTTGTAGCTCTTTTTGTATTTATTTATGAAGGTGGCATCATCTAGGTCTCTGTCCTTGCAGTTATGACGGGTAATCACCACGACACTTCTGATCATGTGATGGTTGTTTTTGCAGTGGCATTTCATTAGTATTTCAGATTTTGGTCCACCTTTTTGTGGTAACAATATACCTTCTCCATGATGGTTTATTCGGAGTGAACAGCTGTGGTATAAAACGGTTTTGTATATTATTTTCTTAAAGCCTTTTCACATGATCACAGGCATCCCTGTGCTTTTTTTTTTCACAGCTTATAATTATTACCGGTTGATCCACCTGTGCTTGAGAGCTAATAGAGCATCTGAGTTCTAAGAACACTTAACACAGCAGACTAAATACGTAAAACAAAAATAGTCACAAAAAGCAGTGCAGTGCCCATAGGCTTTATGTAGAACTCATTATGGCTGGATTGTAAGTGAGGAAACAGTTATATATTAATGGTGTTAAGAGGATTAACCGTACTCTGTGAAGGTAAGTACATAAATGGCTGTTTAGCAAGGCAGATGGAAACTGTTGACTGAGTTTACAAGTGTTGAAGAAAATGCAGGTAATGAGTAAGCAGCTCATTCTCCTCCCTGTTGAAATTAAACCTCCCCCCACCATATCCCTGTAGGACAGAAAGGGTTAATTAATTAGTATTTTGAGCTTTTAATTGGAGCTTAGCGGGTCCCGCATGACAGCTGTCTGCCCCCCCTCCCAACTAAATTCATTTGTTTAAATTCATTTTGTACAATAGCGAAATTAATTATGCAGATTTCCTTTTGGAGGTAATGTTGTTTTGCCGCTCCAATATTAGTTTGTTGCAATTGTGCTCTGGGGTCTCTGCATATTGTCTGTGATATTATCAGGCACTGGGCCTCTCTCATTTCGGGTTATTGACAGTTTCTGAGACGAGATGAAGATAATTATTAAGCCATTGTTGTGTATGGGAGGAGGCCAGTTACACAATGAAAAATAAAAAAGAACATCTTCTCATCCTGAGTTTGGCCTGCTTTCCTCTTTTTTTTCCATCTAATTGTTCTTCCTCATTAGAGTCGGTATTTATTTCTGTATTACTTGGCAGGTTGTTCTTAAAGTGCAAGAAAAGCTGAATTAGAGCTGTTTTTAAAAATGTTCCCTCTTTCTTCCTCCTTCCTATCTTGCCTACCCTGTCTGTGTACAGACCTATTTTTATTCTTCTTTGGTCTCGTCATGTGATCCTGCAGCACCAGGTCCCTATGCCAGAGAGCAGCTGCTGCAGGGGTGTACCAACAACTGTTGGGTCATGGGAGCCTATGGTTGACATCACGGCTCCAGAAATTCACAGCCTTTGTTGAGCGCTCCCTTACACAGGGAAGTTGGAGGTGCAGGATCACGTGACTGGAGCGGATTGAAAATAGATCTTTTTTTATACAGGTTAGATGAGAGGAAGGGGAGAGAACATTTTTAAAAGTAGCTACAGTTAGGCTTTTCTTCCACTTTAAATATTTACAGGGGAATGTATAATCACTTCACTTATGTTTTTTTTTTTTTTAGATACAAGCATATAAGAGATCATCTTGCTTTAAATGATTTTATGGGGTTGATTTACTAAAACTGGAGAGTACAAAATCTGGTGCGGCTCTGCATAGAAACTAATCAGCTTCCAGCTTTTATGTCAAAACTGAATTGAACAAGCTGAAGTCAGAAGCTGATTGGAAAGTACAAAATCAGGTGCAGCTCTGAATTGTAGGCAATCAGCTTCTGACTTCAGCTTGTTCAATTCAGTTTTGACATAAAAGCTGGAAGCTGATTAGTTTCTATGCAGAACCACACCAGATTTTGTACTCTCCAGTTTTAGTGAATCAACCCCCGTAAATGTATGGTAATGTTCTAAAAACCATTCTATGTTTGTCATTTTGTTTTCTTTGTATTTATGTAGATAAGGGAAGCCAATTTTTCTCAATGCAATCTAAGGGTCTGCTCTAGCTTTGCAGGTTTACATAGTAGGTGCTCTTTTTTTTGCAATGCAATGCAATCCACTACATGACCCATGAAGGGCAAAGCAATAGGCTCACTAAAACCATGCAATATCTAATACTCCCTTCACTGGTAACAAGGAGAGGAAGACGTTTCTAAGGTTTGAGTTGATCCAAGTTGGAGCTTCTCAAGGGTCAAGACTCTCTCTGTTCCTGTGTGACACTGCTAGGAAATCACCAAGCACCAGCACTGTCCCATGGAGGGGAAGCAGAATGAGTCACATGTTTCTTCATATCCAGAAGTACCACATATTCTCTTCATGTGCAGTGGTTCAAAGAGTGAAGGGAAGGTATGAATGTGCAGAAGGGAGGCTGAGCATTAAAGTTAACCTGTTGCTTTTCCCTGCATGGCATATATTTACTTTAGGGCCGATATTGATGGACTTTGAGCTTCAATGTCGATGGCATCAGTTTGAGATGCTTTTGAGAAAATTTCAGAATTCATTGACAGGAGCATTTGACCTACTTCCAGTGGGTGTTGCATCCCCATAGACATATAGGAATGCAAAATCCACTTGAAGCAAACAGTTCTCCATCAACACTGGCCCTAAGGCAGGGGTTAGAATAAAGGAAATGCTGAGCCCCTCCGACAGCCGTTCTACAAATGTATTTTATACTAGCACTTCTTAACCTTTTTAACACAGAGAAACACTTTAAATAATTTCTGGTTCCAGGGAAGAATGCTCCTTAAATTGGGGAATCCCCCGCTTTACAGATAGCTAATTTGAGCATTGTCAGTGGTTATGTATGTAATAGGCAGAATCTGCTCATTGCTCAAGGAACTCCTATCTACCTCTGGGGGAAACCTAGGGTTTCATGGAGCCCTCGTTATGAAACACTGCTTCATACTGTTACAAAATCTGGGAGACTAAGCATATTAAAATAGGAAAACAAAATTACTTTGATGAAAACACTACAGTTATACCTTAAAATCTCAGTAGAAATACACACTTTGTAAGAGATATCAATGTTTTCATTAGTTGTGCAAGTATTACCTTTTTTCTAATTGGCTGAAAACGAAATAGATTTGTAATTTGACAGGTAAAAGATTATGTATCAGAATGTACAGTATACATAACAATACATAAGGAAATTGGGTAATTCAAGATATGGATTCTATACTTTATAAACCTTAAACATGGTGTTCGTCCTTAAATTGAATTTAAACCTCCTTTGCACTGTAGCAAAAGGCAAATAGATAGTTTCAGGCAATCACATACGTATGTACAGTAGACCTGTGGTGTACATGCCTTAGTTCTAATTCCATTGATTAAATCAGTATTCCTGTACATTCTCTCTACAGGGCACCCAACTGCTCGTCGTGTAGCCAACCAAATACCTGATGAAATCTCCCAGAATCCTTTACTCCTGGAAGCCATTTCTGTACTACCTCAAAACTATAACTTTGAAATTCCTAAGACAATATGGAGGATTCAGCAAGCTGCAGCTAAAAGAGGTATGCCTATGTTTTATGGTTTTATGTCAGTTGTTTCCAGCAGATCTTTGTAGGATTGCAGATTTAGACTGGATTCACATTTTCGTACTGCAGTAACACGCTGTAAAATGCATATTACTACAAAGCACAGTAATGTGCAGACTGTTTTGTGTTGCATTGCAGTGTTATTCATTTTAAATGGCGCCCCAAGACGCCACAGTAGATCTACATTTTAATGCATCACAAATCACAGATATACACCATTTATTTTGTGCACTGCTTTGATTACAAAAATGGTAAAACCTGCACAATCATACTTTGATAGCCCCTTTAACACATACATAATGCACATTAACATATTGCGGTATGCATTGCAAAAATATGAATACTGCCTTACAGGCATTTTCCCACATTTTGAAAAAAAATAATAAATGCACCTTAATTTATAAAATAAAATGTGTATTTACTAAATGTTTGCATCATCGGTGCGTTGCAAGTGCAATGCATTGGTTTCTGCAAACCCTTCCCCCAGCCCTAGGTCATTACTGAGGCCTGGACCTTCTGTTATGGAGCTGGAAAAAGTACACAATGGGCTACAAGTGTGAGGATGTCACCACACTTATACTCCACTGAGATTTGAGAGTCCCTTTGTCAAAGAGGTAGATGAGCCTTGAAGCCATTCATAGATCCCAGTGAATGAATGAGATAGATATATGGTATAATATATATATATATATGTATGTATATACGGTAAATTATGCAAACATGTTGGCCATACATATGGCGGTTTCAGGATTTCAAATGGATTATTGTAAATGAAAAATATCAATATTTACTGGACAGCGATTTGTGTCAAATCCCCTGTACAGCTATTGCTACTCTCCTTTGGCTCATTCTAATCGAATTCCAGAATGGGGAAAATCTTTCTGATTTTTCCCTGTCTCAGTAAAATAATACAAAGAATAGTTGTTATCCATAGCAGCTAACGAGAGAACTGAAATCTTTTGGCTCTTTGAACGAGTTCAGAAATCTGAGATTTTACGTGATGCTTTGAATCACTGAACTTTGCTTGCTGTAAATGTATCATTTAAAGGAGAACATTACTTGCTGGGACCTGGATAAATACTATATGCTAATTATGCTTGCTTTCAAGAAGAAGAGAATGCTCTCCCAGACATGAAGTGACTATGATCTGCAAGTTCTAGTACCACAATATAAAGTATTTCTTAACATCAAAACAAAAGAGTCACATTTATTTTAGGTGTATAAAGCTAATGTCAGAATGCCAACAGCAGATGCCTTTGACAGTTAAGAACTTATCTTGCTGTATCTATGTTTAACTGATGAGGCTGAAATCTGATTGCTTGTTCTACATAAGTGCACATAATAGTTCTGTTAGTCTTTTCAGTGCATTCTCATCTATTATGAGAGCAGGCATTGCAGACTCCTCCCACCCCCCATTTTTTTCCCCACTTATTTATAGGACTCTTCAAAGCACATATCCACCCCAATAGGAATATGAGCGTTGTCCTGCTGTTTGGATGCCACACAGCGAGTTCCGTACTGTCATCTTGGTCATAATACAACAAAAAACGTAAATGTATTTTATTGGGATTTTATGTGATAGACCAAGACAAAGTGACACATAATTGTGAAGTGGAAGGAAAATGATAAATGGTTTTCAAAATTATTTACAAATATCTGAAAAGTGTGGCGTGCATATGTATTCAGCCCCCTTGAGTCAATACTTTGTAGAACCTGCTGAAGAAAAGTATCCCCACAATATGAGGCTGCCACCACCATGTTTCACAGTGCGGATGGTGTGTTCAGGGTGATGTGCAGTGTTAGTTTTCTGCACTCATAGCATTTTTGCCTTTTAGGCCAGAAAGTTCCATTTTGATCTCATCTGACCAGAGCACCTTCTTCCACATGTTTGCTGTATGCCCCACATGGTTTCTCGCAAACTGCAAACAGGACTTCTTATGGCTTTCATTCAACAATGGCTTTCTTCTTCCCATTCTTCATAAAGGCCAGATTTGTGGAGTGCACGACTAATAGTTGTCCTGTGGACGATTCTCCTACTTGAGCTGTGGATCTCTGCAGCTTCTCCTGAGTTATCATGAGCCTCTTGGCTCCTTCTTTGATTAATGCCCTCTTTGCCCAGCCTGTCAGTTTAGATGGATGGCCATGTCTTGGTAGGTTTGCAATTGTGCCTTACTCCATTTCCATTTTCGGATTGCTGGATTGAACAGTGCTCCATGAGATGTTAAAAGCTTGGGGATATTTTTTTTATATAACCTAACCTTGCTTTAAACGTCTCCACAACTTTATCCTTAACCTGTCTGGTGTATTCCTTGACCTACATGATGATGTTTGTTCACTAATGTTCTCTAACAAACCTCTGAGGGCTTCACAGAACATCTGTATTTATACTGAGCTTAAACTACACACAGGTGGACTCTATTTGCTAATTAGGTGACTTCTGAAAGCAATTGATTCCACTAGATTTTAGTTCGGTGTATCAGAGTAAAGGGGGCTAAATACAAATGCAAATTTTGAAAACCATTAATCATTTTCCTTCCAGTTCACAATTATAAGTCACTTTGTGTTGGTCTATCACATAAAATCCCAATAAAATACATTTATATTTTTTGGTTGTAATATGACAAAAATGTGGAAAATTTCAAGTGGAGTGAATACTTTTTTGAGGCACTATAACTCCTTTTTGGTTTAGATTACAGGGCTGTCATAATCCTGGCTTTACTGTCTAGTGTGTAATGGACCTGGAGCAAGCAAGCAACCAACAAATTCTGAAAAGTCTGTTTTTCATGCTTAATCACTGACTTGGCTCCTATCCCTCAGGTTCCCTTTAAATTTGTATATGCTTTTTATATGTAGTATCATTAATTGTTCTTATGTAAGGCAGTGTCTATTATAGACTTATTGATCTACATCCCAGTTTGACAGTTTGGATTATACCATTGCAAAGAATGGCAGTTGTTCATTGTGTGTGTTGTAAGGTATGGATTTCTGAACACCCCATGAGGTAAAAAAAAAAATAGTGTGCCTAAATGGCATAGACTGACTCATCCTGATTGGACAGTGTTACCTCCCTCCTGCGTTGTATAGTAGTAATGCCTGTCTGCATTCTCTGCCTTTGATTACCTTTTATCACATTTGGTCCATTTGCCTGTCAGTGTCCTGTGTCCTCTTCCTCTTCCCCTCTAATCATTTCCTCTCCTGGTTCTCTTCTGATGGCATGCTATATTTGTCTGTACAATAACCTGTTCTCTGTCTTTAGCCGCCTGTCTATCTGTTAATGGTCTGCCTCTTTTTAAAGCTGCTTGTACTGTACTTCTTTGTCCTGCTCTTGCTTAGATGTTTTTCATGCTTTATTTTTCTTCTTGTTTATTACATTTCCCATGCCAGCTATATGTTTTCTCAAGTGTCTGTCTCTTGTATGTGCTTAGGATCTCCAAAATGTCACATTTGCATGTTTATTCCTGGACTCTGATCCTGTTGCTTGGTTTGATTTACTGTCATTTTTTTATGTTTTGTGTCACAAATGCGTTCTTTTTTTTTCCCTTCATGTATGTCTTTGAAAGCCATGTATTGTAGTGCATCTTATTTAAAAGTAGTCACAGTTTTATGTTGGTTTTCTTTTACAGTTGCTTTACAGATGCCGGAAGGGTTGCTGATGTTTGCCTGCACTATTTCTGATATCATTGAAAGGTGAGGAATATACGCTTGTCCTGTTCTGTTTTTGTCTGTTGATGAAGAATAATTATCTATGTTAACATTAAAAAGAGAACACCAGTAGGCACAAATATCACTGATAAACAGCGTGGTCATATGCTGTTTGTTAAAAGCAAATAAAATGCAGGATTTACGCACCAGAGGCCAAAGTCAGGTTAAAGTGGACTTAAAGTCTTACTAAACCCAGGACCCTGCATTCACTATATCTGGTCTCCCACAGTACACAGAACATGGAAGTGCAATTATTTAGTAAATATAAACTGCTAAATACCTTTTCCCATCAGCAGTTAGAGCAGTCTTGTGACTTCAGCAGAGCACTGGTTAAAGCTAGGAGTTTTCTTTCTGCTCTAGGAAGATGCAATACCCCTGACCTCTGTCTGGACAGTGCTGATTGGCTCTGTGCTGATCACATGCACTCTCCCAAGAAAAAAAAAAAAAAAAACCTCTCTAGCAATACCCACCAAACTGAGCGTGTACATGTGACTACGGGTTCAGTCTGTCTTATAAGGTGGACATTTGAACAAGAGGAGGGGCGGAAAAAACAGTACCAAATGGCCTTTTTACACATTTAAGAGGATTACCCCTTAGGTTCCAGAGTGAGTATAAAAAGTCTGCTTTACTGCATATACAGACTGATTTTACTGTTGTGGGTTTAGTAACACTTTAGTCAAAAACTGTCTTATAGGAGTTGATTTACTAAGGGCAAATAGGCAATGTATTTTAGACAGGTACTTATATAGTGCCATCAATTTACGCAGCCTTTCACATCAGTCTCAGCCCTCAAGGAGCTTACAATCTAAGGTCCCTAACCCATATTCATACTGTAGTATTGCCAATTTAGACAGGCGCCATTTAACCTACCAGACATGCTAACCACTTAGCCACTGTGCAAGTTACACTCTGCAGATAGAATTTGAATTTGCTTGCAAGGTTAATGAATTTGTTGGTGTTTCAATTTGCAAAGAATACCCAATCACATGCAAGAAAAATAAAAATGGCATTTTTACTTCCATGATTGGAGGATGGAAGTTGGCAGAGCTTCACCTCATTCACTAAGCTCTGGGGAAAATTTCCTTGCAAAGTTCAACTTACCTTGCAAATGGAAAAGGCTGTTTGCTTTTGTAAATCAACCCCATATTGACCGAGAGTCAGCCAATGCAAATCTCCACCTCAAATAGATCTGGTTCTTAGCTGCACTGAAGTCAGGAAACAGGAAGTTAAGCATTGGTCGCTTGGACCCTTATTCAGGGCATTTTTAGTCCACATTAAGGCAGTGATAGCTATCACTTCTAAGTATTCCAAGTGCTCACCATCACGTTGTAAGATCTGTTAGCATTGTTGACTACTCTTAAATTGTCATCTTTTCTTTCCTTTTCCTTAGGCTGATTGGTTTCACACTGCTGAGCTGTGGTTTGGCTGCAGCACAGGTGTACCCAGGGTTTTCGAGTGGTTAACCTGCAGATTACTGTAGACTTTCTATCAGATTGTGCATTTTTTAAAAGCACAACAAAGATGCAGCATGCAGGATTTTTGGTGCGCTTTCAGAAAATGCATCAAAAACGCATGAACTGATAGAAAGTCTATGGGAATGCATGGGTTAACTGCATGAAAAACTGCAGGTACACCTGCGCTGTGGCCAAACCGCAGCTTAGCAGTGTGAAAGCGGCCTTATAGAAAAGGGAAATGAGTCTGCCACTACCCATGTACCACTTCTCCATTTAGACTTGGTTGCAAAAAAAAAAAAAAAAAAGATCTAATTGAGGATGTGATCACTGATTTTTGTTAGGGAGATACCTTTGTGTGACCCCCCCCCAACAAAATTTCAAATGTATGCCCTTTTATGTATAAAATTAACAGTGTGCAACTAGTGCTACAAACGGTATATGTGAAAGAAGCGTCAAACAACATTCATGTCATTCCTTTGCACTTCTGTGCAGAATTCATGGCCTGCCATAGTGGAGCTGCACTGTTAGACACCTAATTGGGAAATGATTTCTAGACGTGTCCATTTCATGGTTGTGCTGTTGTGTGGGCAAAGCAGAATGTACAGTTGTCATGTACCTACGGCAGGACCGTAGGAAATCAGCCAGCCAGTTCAAGCTTTGGCACATGCCTTAATTTTCAGTTGTTGAGGTTTGATGTATAAGCTGTTTGTTTATATTACTTCATTTGTAATGGGTAGTGTTCAATACAAAACACAAAGAAATAATTGCTGAGCATTTTGTACAGGATTTGCCTCTACTTTGAGCATAACTCTACCTACCCTCTCCCTTCTTTTACCTCCAGCACATCCCAACAGTCTTAGGTCCCATGTACACGGATGTACTAGAATTTTTTATGCCGAATTATGGCCATATGCAGAATAAAACCTCAAAATTTCATAGAACTTTATGTCCCTTCCTAACAGCATCTGCATCTGAAAACAAATATTAGAAACTAAGAACTATTTACTTGCTTATTGCAATTCTTCATTAATGATTGGGCTATTATATAATGGCATAAACTTCTTTCAATCTTACGTATCCTCTAGGAAATTGACATGCTTTTCATCAGTAGTGATTTATTAATTTAATAGACATTGTTCTGTATATCTCTTTTCCTTTCTGTTTTCTGTTTAATAGTTCATGTTCTCATTGTATCTCCCTGTCCTCTTGTTAGGAACATTCAAGTAAATCCTGGAGGTTGTGGTGGAGGGCAGAAGAGTTGTTAGCTGAATCAATATGGTCACTCCAGCTTTTTGCTTTTCTATCCTGTGCTGGAGGTATCATTATACAGGCACTTAATGTCACGACATTAAGGAGCCTATAGTATTTAGCTGCTTTTCCACATGTTGCTTGATGGCATTGAGGGAGCCCATGGGCACATACTGTATACTGTATTTTCTGTGCTGGATTCAGACGTAAATAAACCCAAAACTTCTTTTTAAATTTTGAATAAAATGGGAAGGGTTATAACCCCCGTTCCCACTAAGGTTAGTTTGCTTTCTCTCTTTGGCCTGGTACCTACTATTATGGAGCTAAAAGTGATATAAAATCCAAAATTTAACAGTTGTCATTGGAACTGGAATAAGTTGGAAAATCCTCTAATGATGACAAACTGGCTTGGTGACAACTGTCTAAGATGGAATTTCCCTTATTTTGGAAAGATTTCCTCAAGCTTTCTGTTGTTACTTCAGGACAGGGAGTCATGGGAAATTTTCCTCAACGGGTCAACAGACAGCTAAATAAATATAACTGACAGAGGTTTAGCCATTCTCGACTCTATCCAAAAGCTATGCAGAAAAACAGAGACTGCAGTGTAAATGCTAAGGACAGACTGCATCATAGTGTAAACTTCATTTTTATTTTGCCCATGGTTATACCTTAAATATACTTTATGGAGTTTTTATCCCAGGTTTATATCTATTTCACTAAATTGTAAGATTCCATTGGGAAAGTGTGTGATTCTTGGGTGAAATTGTTGTTAAATAGACACCTTAGACTTCTGTTTCAGCCACTAGTTCCTAGAAAGTTTGTAAACATTTGTAATTATTTCACAATAATAGATAGTCTGCTTAACACAAAAATGATTACAACCATATTACTATGTACAGATCTGTACAAGGTAAATTAAAAAAAAAACTTATTCACTAAATCAGTAAATGATCACTATGCAAAGTGAACTCTCCTTTTTAAATCAAACCAGCGGCATTTAATATCCATGTGAAAAAAAAAATGTCTTGTGTAATGACTAATAGAGCCTCCTATAGCAACTGACCAGGCTTGGTAATGGTTAAAAGTAAATGCAGACCATTAACCCTTCTAAAATTATTTCAGCTCCTTGGTATTTTGGGGGATTCCTCTGGCAAACAGATCACTTCAGGCTTATTGGCACCAGCAGGAGACTGGGTATCCATTCTGGATGAATGCTACCCCTACACCAACTTAATTTGATGATGGGTTGAAAAGATTGTGCATGATTTTCCGTAGATCTGAAATGAAAGATCTTTTGGCATTCAGATCTTCCAACTGCCATTGTAGCATCGAAGTCAATTATACATAAAATGCATATATTTAAAAGAGAGGTTTTATTTTTTGCATATTTGTCACACCTAAATGATTCAGATCATTAAACAAAATTTTGTATTACAGAAAAATAACCCAAGCAAATACAAAATGCAGTTTTTAAATTATGATTTAATTTATTAACGATAAGCTGTCCAAACCTGCCTGTCCCTATGTGTAAAAGTAATTGCCCCCCACCACCCTTTGCTAAATCATGAATGAACCGTGTATAGTCAAATTTTTTGGAAAGCTGAGTTAAATTTCACTTGCCACACTCAGGCCTGACTACTACCAGACCTGTTAAATCAAAAAATCACTTAAATAGAAAGTATCTGACAAAGTGAAGCATGTTAAAAGATCTCAAAAAGCAACACATCATGCTGCGAGCTAATAAAATTAAAGAACAGACAAAAAACAAAGTATTTAACACGTATTAGTCTGTAAATGGTTACAAAGCCATTTCTGAGGCTTTGGGACTTCAATGAACCATGGTGAGAGCCATTATCCAAAAATGGAGAAAACTTGGACCAGTGGTAATCCTTCCTAGGAGTGGCCGGCCTACCAAAATTACTCCAAGAGCACAACAACGATTCATCCAGGAGGTCATAGAAGAACCCAGAACAACATCTAAAGAACTGCAGGCCTTACTTGCCTCAGTTGGGGTCAATATTCATGGTTCAACAATAAAAAAAGGGACTGGGCAAAAATGGCATTCATGGGAGAGTTCTAAGATGAAAGCCACTGCTGACCAAAAAGAACACAAAGGCTTGTCTCACATTTGCCAAAAAACAATCTTGATTATCCCCAAGACTTTTGGGAAATATTCTGTGCACTGATGAGATAAAAGTTTAACTATTTAGGAAGTGTGCATTCCATTACATCTGGTGTAAAACTAACACAGAATTTCATAAAAAGAACATCATACCAGCAGCCA